AACGCCACGACCACGCCACGACCACGCCACGACAACGCCATGACCATGCCATGACCATGCCACGACAACGCCATGACCACGCCATGACCATGCCACGACAACGCCTCACCTGCTCTTGGTGGCTCTGACGGAGCCCGGTGCTCACCTCCCGGCGACGGCCATGCGGGGCCCTGGGGCAGCTCGCGGCTCAGCCTGCACGCGGATACCTCAGTTCCCAGAGAGTAAATTCTCTGTCGTAGGGAGCAGCAAAGCTGGATTTCCAAGGGCACGCTCTCAGAAAGAGCTGCTGCGTTATTTCCTGATTTCTCTTCTGGTGAGCGCTGCCGATGCAGCGTCCCGGAGGTCCTAGTGCCTGCCGCCTGCAGAGTCAAACATTAATCAGAGGTGACTCATTATTTGACAACACTTGAAAAACTTACCCTGTGAGGGCACAAGCCCACACCCTTGCTGGAAACGAACTGGAGATCATCACACCCTGTATTCTGCAGCACTGCGTAGCGCACACAGAAAATTATTGACCAAATTATTGATCCAAATAGGGAGATTTGCCGTTACCACCTCGACGGCCGTGCTCAGAGCCGCTACCCGAGGAGCGCGTGCCCACAGCTCTCCAGGGAGGCCCAGACTCAGGTGAGGAGGTGGTGGCACCAGGGATGCTGAAGTCTGCTCCCGTCTCAGCGCTGACTTCTGTGAGACTGAGGGGAGGCTGAGCAAGAGCAGGGCTGTGCCTCGCTGCTCTGCAGGGCAGGAGAACACAGAGACATCCCTGGCTGGAAGGGACAGTCACAGAGAGACCTTTAAATGAACACCACTGTCAAACGGCGGCAGCTTATCTGCATCCTCCAGCATCCGCAGCTAGTGGGGAGGGAACCACCACCTCCACAGCTCGCCATCCCGGCCAGAGAGAACACAGAGACATCCCTGGCTGGAAGGGACAGTCACAGAGAGACCTTTAAATGAACACCACTGTCAAACGGCGGCAGCTTATCTGCATCCTCCAGCATCCGCAGCTAGTGGGGAGGGAACCACCACCTCCACAGCTCGCCATCCCGGCCAGAACACTGGAGACCAGTTTTGCACCAGTGTTCAACATTTCCAATTTTCTGAGCAAAATGGTGAAGAAGAAGAAAATGCAGTTTCAGGCAAACGCCCTACTTCATTCAGGGGCCTTGGGGTTTTTTGTGTGTACTTTTTTGTTTTGTTTTTAACAAACTTGTGTTTAAACTTTCACAAAACATGTGCAGTTCAAGGGCAAAGGCAGTGTAGAA